CCCTCATGCGTGCACCCCTTGCATGCATGCGCCGTGACGCGCGTGCAGCACACGTGTGCACCATGCATGCCTTCACCCTCAAGTGCACACACACGGGGGGGTACAGGCACCCTGCACCACCCGAGCACGCGTGCAGTGTGTGTGCACCCGCGTGTGCACTGCGTGCGTGCATGGGGCTGCGCATCTGCAGAGGTGCAGGCAGGCACGGGGCGCATACGTGCAGAGTGCATCTGCGTGGGGAGCATTGCGTGTGGTGTATGTACGTGCACAGCCCTCTGTGTGCTTGCACCCCTTGCACATGTGCATCCCTTGCATACATGCACACATGCATCCCTTGCACGCGTGCACCCCTCGCACGCATGCACCCCTTGCACGCGTGCACCCCTCACACACATGCACCTCTTGCACGCGTGCATCCCTTGCACGTGTGCACCCTTTGTGCGCATGCACCCCTTGCACATATGCACCATGACATGCGTGCAGCATACGTGTGCACTGTGCATGCCTTCACCCTCAAGTGCACACGCACGGGGGTGTACATGCGCCCTGCACGCTTTGGGGGGTGCATGCGTGCGCGGCGGTGCGTGCGTGCACGGGGTGCGTGCTGCAGATCTGGGCAGGTTCGTGCACACCCAGTGCTGCACGCGTGCGAGGGTGCACGTGTGGACAGCGGGTGTGCAGATGTGCTGCACATGGGGGCGGGTGCACGTGTGCTCAGGCAGTACTCCAAAAGCTGTGGCGTGTTTCTGCTCTGGCTTACTACTAGGTTACTGTTTGCTTCCTGTGAGGTTAGTGCTAAGATACTACTGGGATACTCTCAGACACAGCTGAGATACACAGGATACTACTGGGATGCTACTAAGATGCTCTCAGGAGTTTACTGAAATGCTGTCAGGATTCTCTGCAGACAGTGTAAGGCCCTCTCAGGGTGGCACTGAGATACTATCAGGATGCTCTGTGGATGCTACTGGGATACTGCAAGAACCCTACTAAGGTACTATCAGGGCACTACCAGGATGCTATCAGGATACTACTAAGATATTTCCAGCATCTTTCTGATGTTGATACGGAGAAAGTAGGAAGGTACCGCTGGGACAGGGTTAACACACCATCAGGATACTCTCAGGATACTACAACAGATACGGTTAAGTTGCTTTCAGCGTAGTCACATGGCACTCAGATAGTATCTGGATATTACATTGCACTACCAAGATACTATCAGGACACTACTAAGATAATAGCTATATCCTATTACACCGCTGTTAGTATCCTATCAGGGCACTGCTCATATACTACTGCGTTACTATGAGGGTACTGTTAGGATGTAACTAGGATGCTATTGAGATGCTCCTAACATAGTACCAGGATACCACTACCCATGCTAGTACAACATCGGAGCAATGCTGAGCTATTCAGTAGCTGCTACTAGGATACTCACAGTGTAGCACAAAGGTACTATCAGGATGCTGCTAAGATGTTGCCAGGGTGCCGCTTGGATGCTCCAAAAGATACCACTGAGATACTTTCACCATATTATGGAGGCACTACAAAGATACCACAGGGAGATTACTAGGATACTACTAAGATAGTATCAGGATACTACTATGATGCTATCAGGATATTATTACAACACTACTACGGTGCTATCAGGACAGTACTCATTAAGATGCTGTCAGGATGCCAGGATATCAGTGGGATACTTCTGAGATACTACAAGTGCACTAGAAAACATAGTGGTAGGATACTTCTGGGATACTATCAAGGCAACACTCAAACTTCTGGGATACTGTCAGTGTATTACTCATACTAGTCTGATACTTTCAGGCCACTGCTAAGATAGCGGTCTAGTGTAAGGACACTACTAACATACTACCAGTTTAGTAAAAAAGGTAGTGTTAGGATGCTTCTGACGTACTATCAGGGTGGCACTAATACACTTTTGGACCACTGTCAACACTTCGTTGCTATTAGTGAAATGTTGCTAGTATAGTGTCACATTATTAGCATACTTCTGTGAAGAGAGTACTAAGCTGCTGTTGGGCTACTACTAGGATACTACAGAGAGACTGCTCATGCAGTAGGGCTTCAGCCAGCACGGCAGCAGCTAAGAGAATTGGGAGTCCTGGTGTTGTAACCTGTGAGTAGCCCGGTGCCTCACAAGTACCCTCTCCCTGCAGGTAAGACGAGGTGTCGGTGTCGAGTAGGATGGAGGCGCCCCTGGTGAGCCTGGAGGAAGAGTTTGAGGAGGGGCCCGGGGACGATGAGGGGACCCCGCAACGCACTGCGGACTCGGCGCTGGCCGAGCTGGAGAGCTTCTCAGCTGAGATGATGAGCTTCAAGTCGATGGAGGACCTGGTGCAGGAGTTCGACGAGAAGCTCACCGTCTGCTTCCGCAACTACGATGCTGCCACCGAGGGTCTGGCCCCTGTGCGGGGGCGTCTCCAGGCACAGGAGGAGGAGGAGCGCCTCCAGGACGAGGAGTGAGTAAGGCCCCTCTACTCCTGGGGACACGTGCTTCCTTGCACACCTGCAAAATCCACCCCCCTCCTCAATGCAAAATGGCTTCCTGCACGGAAGCGTGGTCACGCAACACATCAAGGCAGTGGTGTAGTAAACTATGAGTAAGCCCCCTTACAGCCTGTGTGTCTCCTTGCACCCTCACGAGACTTCCATGACCAGCTCCCTGCATTGCAGCACGGTCATGCACCGTGCCAGGAGTAGCGCTGTAGTATCCTGTGAGTAAAGACTTTCTTAGGGTCTGCATGCCACCTTGCACACTAGCAGGGTACACACCACGTGCAACTCATCGTGGGGTAGTCATGCAGCAGTGTGGAGGGGCTGGGGAGTGTACTATGAGTCACCTTGAGTAGCTGTGTAGGATCCTATGAGTAGGCCACTCTTGGGCCCGTATGCCTCCTTGCATGGTCATGAGATACCCCCCCCTCCCACAGCATGCAGACCAGCCTACTCCCTTGCAGTGTGGTTGTGTAGCACATCAGAGTAGCAGTGTAGTATCCTACGAGTAACGTCCCTCTGGAGCCTGTTTCACCTCCTTGCGTGCTTGCAAGATCTCCACCACATGCAAACCATCCCCCTGCCTTGTGGCGTCATCATGTAGCACCTCGGAGTAGCTGTGTGGGATCCTTGGAGTAGCCTTGGAGCATCCTTGGAGTAGCCTTGGAGAATCCATGGAGTAGCTGTGTAGCATCCAATGAGGAGGTCCAGTGAGGTGCCTCATGTCACATGGCAGTGTACGTGAGGAGGGCCCCCGGGCACTGGTGAGTGTAAACCTTGAGTAAGGTGTGAGTAGGGCGTCGCCTCCTGCTTACAACACGCAAGCTCTGCACCAAGGGGCAAATCCCCCAACCCCCCCACAAACCGGCATCATTTCCCTTAAAACTGAAATTGTCATTAAAAACTAATTTTTTTTTGGTGCAAAACGCCCTTTTTTGGCCAAATTCGAGTATTCTTTCCGATGGTGTTTATACGTTAACGCCTTCCTAGTGGATTTTTTTGCGGCGTTTAATTGGGATTATTCCCAATTAAATTGCAATTCCCAATATTCATTTTTCACCATGCAAAACGGTGTTTTTCAACCCAAAAGCCCCCGAAATCTGTTGATTTGGGGTTTGATTTTTGGTGGTGTTCTTTTCAGGGCCAAATTGTTTTTCGTAATTGCCCAAATCGAGGGGTTTTCAGGGAAAAAAAACCCTCACATTTTGGCCCAGTGCCGGGAGCGCCGCGCTGTCGCCGGCAGCCCGCTCGCCGGGGCGCCTTTGGGCCC